CTTTTCACATTCAAAGTAATTAATCACACATCATGAAAATTTTTATAACTTATATCTTATCAGTTTATTATTTAGTGTATGTTTCACATTTTAATAGTAATATTAAGTGTTTCTTAAAAGGTTTATTTAACTTATTATTAATAATAAATGGTTTAAAACTAAAGAACAATAACTTTAAATGATAATAACATCAATTTATAAATTACATAACGTTAACAACAAATAAATTGTATTTTAAATGAATATCATTATTGAAATGAGAAAATAATCGCATAAATAAAAATTTAAATTAACAAATCATAACAATTCTTAAAAATAATATTAAATAGATAGTTATATTTAATTTTATTAATGAGGAAGGTGGGTTGATGTAAATGAATAATAATGTTGAAAATATTATGTCAAAGTTAATGTCAATAACATAACCATTTTAAACATATATTTTTCAACATTTTAACAATATATTTTTAATTTACGCTGCGCAACGCGCGAGAATTCGTTTAGTACTCTTTATGTAATCGTCTAGTACTCTTTATATCATCGTCATGTTATTACATGTAAGATATTATACGTCAATCAACACATAATACATATGTAGAGTATCAACAAGCTAACCAGGATCATGTAGAGCATATTATAGTAAAACAACAGGAACAAAGTGTAGATTTAAGGAAGGAGTATTCATCAAGCTTGAAATACATATATAAAGAGCAACCTTCTTAATAAAGTTATAGGTACAATTTTTTCAGTCTAGGGTTAATTACAATAGACACATAATGTGGAGTTGAGGATGGCAGTTATGGGTTTTGTTTGGTTAAATTTAGAAAAAAAAGTGTTTCTGTATAAGTTTAACATTTTATAGAATGAAAATAATTTATGCACTTTGATATGTAATGTCCGCGTTTCTCGGTTAAGCATTAGTATGGTGATGTAATAGTTAGGGTCAACAATTGTAACATATTTTGAGGTAATAAAGAGGGATTATTTGAGTATTATGGGATTTATGTGATTTATGAGCTTATAACGATATAATACAATAATAATAAAATATGCATCCAAAATAAAATGAAGATTTGACCGAATATCTTTAAAGAATGTTGAAGTAGCCGCAACAAGGATTTTGGGGATATAAGGAACGCTAAAATCCAACTTATAGCAAATAAGTTATGACACGTCGAAGTTTTGTGACAAAACTGGCATAACTTTGTATATCGTAAAAAGAGAGTTTGCGATAAAGTACTTTTTAACCTTATCGATCTAAAATAAAGTCGTAATATATGCTAAACTAAGAGCGTGCATAAAAAGAATGTCAAAATCTGACTTCATATAAGGAAGTTATGATTTTTATGACATTTGACATAGCAATATAAAACCCGGAATTCGAATATTAGATCGACCGATTTTTCGCCAACACAACCTAAAGAGAATCGAATATGTTGTTGATAGTAGTTCAACGATATAAAATAGATAAAAATGGACGTCGGATGACGAAGTTATGAATTTTTATTGGACTTTAACTGTCTAGGCATGTTAAAATATAACTTTAAAAGTAAAGTCAAGATTAGCCAATGGAGTCTAAGCGAATGTTGTAGATTACGTGCCACCTACGCGTGGATTTAAAGAACGTCGAAAACGGAGCTCGTATGCGAAAGTTACGTAATTTAGAAGTTAAAGGGATTAGGTTGCGAAGGTGACATGTGGCACGAGTACTCCCCATGCAATCGACATTACGCCCCGCGTACTCACATGCACGGTCCCAACATTCTCTACTTCGCTCCATACGAAGAACGACACCTGGCCCTCGTACGAGCAATGTAGAGCCTTGTACGTGTAACGTACTCCCATGATACACCCAATAATCATCACTACTCCAGCCTATAAATAGGTGCAAGGAGCAACCCATTTCTTCACACCAAAACCCTTTTCTCTCTCTCTCTCTCTCTCTCTCTCTATATATATATATATATATATATATATATATATATATATATATATATATATATATAGAGAGAGAGAGAGAGAGAGAGAGAGAGAGAAAAGGGTTTTGGTGTGAAGAAATGGGTTGCTCCTTGCACCTATTTATAGGCTGGAGTAGTGATGATTATTGGGTGTATCATGGGAGTACGTTACACGTACAAGGTTCTACGTTGCTCGTACGAGGGCCAGGTGTCGTTCTTCGTATGGAGCGACGTAGAGAATGTTGGGACCATGCATGTGAGTACGCAGGGCGTAATGTCGATTGCATGGGGAGTACTCGTGCCACGTGTCACCTTCGCAACCTAATCCCTTTAACTTCTAAATTACGTAACTTTCGCATACGAGCTCCGTTTTTTACGTTCTTTATATCCACGTGTAGGTGGCGACGTAATCTACAACATTCTCTTCGACTCCATTGGCTAATTTTGACTTTAATTTTAAAGTTATATATATATATATATATATATATATATATATATATATATATATATATATTCCCCTAAACTCTCCCTTCAAATCCGTGGTACTCCCCAACGGCTATAGGCGAGTCCTAGAGTGCTAGAAGGCTCCAAGAAGAAGAGCTTTCGGCTTAGAAGGTCTACCCCCGCAAAGCTCGACTCCTAGCCAAACCCCTTTGTAAGTGAGTTATGATTACCCTACTCTAAGTATAACTTATGTTTAAGTTTGTTATCATTATTTTGAACCCATAAATAATATGTGTGCTAAGTATTATAAATTATACAAGTTGTTATTATAATACCTTTTTAACTAATTATGGTACAAGGAATCCGGTTTTAAGGATCATGTAGGTTGTTGAATCTTAGAACAGCTTAAATGCCAAAATGGTCCTGCCCTCCAGTGCTTCATGTTTGGCCCCTGTCTGTACATAGTAGTTGAAAAATATTGTCTAACACTTATATAATACAAGAAAAATAATAATACCTAGACTAATAATTAGTCACGATAAACTTCAAACTAAAATCTAGTGATAATTATATTAGGTTTCATCGAAGGAAAATAAATTATTAGAAGCGAAGCGCTGCCTGAGTTTGGAATCATTACTTTAAAAAGTGAGCGTATAGTTACTTTCATCTTACACATAGATATGAAGTATTTAAAATAGCTTACGTGCTATGTGTGCATATTATCTGTGTTCTTGATATCAATGTTGGATGAACAAAATATACATGTTTTACTTGATTTAAACTATATATGTATTTTATACCAATGATTATGATAGGGAAATATGTGTAGATGATGTAGATGATGAAGTAAAATTATGAGAGGCCTCAATGTTTACATGATCCAACCATCTAGCAGAGTATAGATGACGACTACAGACTATTCTAGATAATCTAGTGGAACGCTAGTAGGCTCGCAACCTATATGTGTTTTTGAACTACGTGTTCACCAGGTGTACACTATCTCGCTCATGGTTACCTTTTTGACATAAATTGTTGAGGAATCCCCTAAACAATGTTCTCCATCCCGATGAAAATCCCTAAGATAGAATAACGGGAACGAGTCATCGGGTTGAACGATTTGATGAAATTAATAAACTTAATTATTATGGGTTGAAAACCCTATGTGCTCACTAGGCTCTCAAGCCTGACCCACTTAGTTTCTTGTATTACAAGTAGTGGCACAAGATCATAGATGTGATGATCGGATGAAAGATTATGAATTATAGGCCAGTAGAAATAAATAAATGTTGTAAGGCCTATGTGGTTTCTGTTTATGCTTTTAATCTGTATTGATAATGACATCCCAAGGTTTTTAATATAATGTTAACTTATTTCTTCGGAAATGCTTTGATAAATTACTCATCATATTTTTGGGAACAAATTTCGCAACATTTTTCTTAAAAATGATACTCTGATTTTCAAATAAAACATAAACAAATCGGTTTTTTCTGGCCGTGAAATTGGGGATGTCACATGATATAACATAGGAATATTGAAATTAGCCAAATGGGGTATTTTATGGAATATATGGAGTTCAATTCCATATAATTGTACAACCATACATGAGAATTTATCAGAATTGATTTTAATTCCCATCAAATCCTTGAATTCATAGATTTGTGTTCGAATTATTGAATTAAGCCCCAGATTAAATTTATCCAAAGTGTTAACTATAATATTTAGATACCGTTTCTTCCAAGAGATTAGATTAAGAAAGAGAATTATTGGATTCTACATGTCATGATGACATGATTTTATAGTAGTAAGAATACAGGTAGGAACAAAAGTTAGAAGGATATTTAAATTTTCATTTGGATTTAAAGATAATTCTAACTTATGGAAACATAAATAACAATAAATGGTTGATTTTTTATTCCTGTAGGAGTTTCTATTCTAAGATTAAGTTTAAAAATATTAGTAATTTAGCCTCCAATTTCATCTTCAAAATTCAAGATCGAATTGTTCACTCTAGCTTTCAATGTTCTACAATGAGTGAATTAAGGGAATTGACTTATCAGCCAACTAATGAATTTACTTTTAATTCAATCTTAAAAAGCTTTTAATCTTAATTAAAGTATTTTTATTTAATTCAACTTAAAAATAATTTTTTTTTCTAAATAATTTTAATTAGATCATAAGTATCTTGCCTCAAATTACATATGTTACAACTATCTATCCCTTGAAATTATTGGGTTCCCAAAATCACAACAAAAGAAGACTAAAGTTGGTAAGATGTAATCTAAACGATAAATGCTTACCAATAGATAGATTCTTACGATACATATACATAGGTAAGAAAGTTTATGTCTCAAATTCAAAGTTATCTTACGGTCAAAAATTTCACAAAAATCTTTTACTTATGTTTATATCCTTCAAATATAAATATTTACATTTTCATTTTTCACCATAGATAGATTCTTACGATAGATATACATAAGTATAATCGATATTGTCATTTGACTTTATTCATTAATCCTCTAAGGTCACATTTGATAGATAATGGAACTTTAATTTTGTAAGTTCCTTGTCCACACAAACAATAATCTTTCTTGTTTGACCATGGTTATACGCTCTTTTCTTATGGTTATTTCAATACTAAAGGTAAAGCCAAAACAATATTTATACCTCAATCTAAGACATTCCTTGAGTTCAACCTAACTTAAATCTCTTTTACTTTCTTCATATGTCAGTAATGAATGAGGTTTAACTAACTATATCATATGGTATACATTGATCTTATCTTAGACCTGATTGGCTAATTCATCTTCAAAGTCAGAACTCAAATTCTAAAGGGTCCTCACATTATTTTAAATCATTAATAGGTTTGTTTAGACATTCTAAAAAACATTCATTTGTGTAAAAAGTCAAGGATATGACCATTTTATTTAAATTGTTCTAAGTTTTTGTGATTTTGTCTTACAACAATGTTTATGAAAACATGATAAGTACTAATACATAGATTTAGGAAGGAACTACATTTTCATTAACTTATGATTTAGCATATGTGGTCTTCTAATAGTGTAATATTAAAAGAATTGCATATTATAAGTATTTATTAACTAAATAAGAAGAGTCAAAATCAAATACTTTTTTGTATGTATTTCCCACTGAAAGCTAGGCTAAACAAACAAATCATTATATTAGATATTTGAGATTTAATCATATATATGTTATGTTTTAGGTACAATTATCATGTTCCATTTCTTAAAGTAAATGGTATTTTAAGTATCCAATAAAAGTGTATAGGGCCTCTATACAAACATGTTTCCCCCCTAAGACTCGTACCAAGACTCTCTTTTGTCGGAATACCTAAAAAGGTAACATTTACCTCTATTCAAATTTATTTTGTTTGGTTGTACTTATCTAACTAATTAAAATTTCAAGTTGTAGACTCTTGCATTTCCAATAGCAGAGACTCAATCAAGGTGGATACCACACACATTGTCAAGGAAAGTTTTGTTGCCATCAGAAGATGAAATACTGAATGATGTCAACGAATATTACCATGAATTAGAAGGAAAAGGGATCCCAGAGCATCATATTCATACTCTTGGATTTGAGGTATTTTTATGCTATTTTTCTATAGTTGTTGATATATTTTTTGACATAATCATATTTTTTTTCTTCAATTGGTAGACGCACTATATAGATTGGATGGTTGCTCAATCTGGAATGGTCATGGAGAAGCAAGTAAAAGAAATGACCAAATATCTAATCCATTGTTTAATGATGGCTGGTCTAAATGGGTATATTGAAGCATTCTTGCAAAAATATGGGATATGATTTGGTGATGTTCCGCACAACATCTGCATTATAAATGACAAAAAATTATGTAACAAAAACAAATTCTCATCACTTTGGGATTTTTAATAGCTAAACTGAGTTAACTAGCAATGAGCCAGATAAAAAAATTACAAATAAGAAAGCGGAACTTAGGTTATGGAACCAAACCACCAAGTTGATTATAAGTTTGTAGTTTGCATTGGACAACAAAAATATTACTGAGAAATAGCGGAATCAAATGTTCGTGTGATGGTTTTTGTGCTAAATAACATATAAACTATGAATGCCCATGGTGCCCAAATTGTTGTTGAAACAACCGCATCTAAACACTTTCTTTGAATTGTTGGAAGACCCGATTTGTTTGCCTAAGATGGAAAGTCTAAAATCATAGAAACAAATGGGCAACAATATTTCATCATATACTAATAAGGAGCCAAATGGAAATGGCCACTTCACAAATATTGAAGAGATAGTCATTCATATCAATGTGTTTATCACTTAGAAGGAACAACGTATGAGTCCAAATTATTCCCTCTATAAGCCAAACTAAATTAAGTATGAACACAATCTCATAAAGTACACACTCTAGAATGATAATTTTAATTGGTGCCTCGACAATACCTTTGCTAGGGTTAATAAGAATTTCAACAAATGATCATGATGATCGGCAATGTCGACAATGAGCACGGGAGAGAGAGAGAGAGAGAGAGAGAGAGAGAGAGAGAGAGAGAGAGAGAGAGAGAGAGATTTATTATTTTATGTCGTAAAAGGCTTCAATTGTAAAATATAGTGGGCTTAAAATAAATGAGACTATTTATAGATAGGTTGACCTAAAAAGTTATGGGTTGAAACGTCATGGGCTTTTTTCAATATTTGAATATCTACCCCCACTGACGAATATAGTCAAAATTGCTTTCCATAAAATTTTAAGTCAACTCTTACGCTGCTACTCGATCACTACAGACCGCCTAAGCACTATTAGGTACTCCTACTCCAAGAATAAGCAAGTGTCGACTACTGCTCCAAGCATAAGCAGCTGTTAGCTACTCATGCAGACTACTCCTACTGCAATCATAAGCAACTGTTCCAAGTATAAGAAACTCCTCTAAGCATAAGAAACTACTCCAATCATAAGCAGATGGTCTAAGAATAAGAAACTTTAATTCAACACTTAACAATCTCACACTCGAAGGATGTGAACAACCAGTTTTCATCCAAACTAAAAACACTATAACCCCCATCTATCTCTAGTTCGTGCCTTCGCTTCAGTTATATGGAAGGTCACTTAACTCCGTGTACTACTTCAACTTCTATGGAGTCACCACCTTGGTTAACATATCTACTGGATTCTTCGTAAAATATATTTTCTTCATATACAAAGGTCATATCACTTATCCATTCACAAATAAAGCAACCCCTCCTTTGAATGTGTTTCATCCTACTATAAAACACTTGATTCTTAGTCAAGTGAACTGCATTCTGGTTTCACAATGCATTACACACTCTTCCTACTGCATCCCAAGTTTTGATAGAAAGTTCTTCAAATATATAAGCTCATTGAGTGCTTCTATAAAAACCATTTGACTCCTTCGTCCTAATGCTCTCTCTCAAAATTAGACATAAATTAGCCCACAACTCGTACTACGTGAGTAATATCTTATCTGGTGCACACCATTTCATACATCAAGTTACGAACTATTGAAACATAGGGGACTTTAGCTATCCCTTCTTTCTCTTCTTTCTTATTTGGGGACTTTTCCTTTGAGATTCTCAAGTCACTCCCCAAAGGTGTACATCTGGTTTTTGCTTTTTCCATGTTGAACTTCTCTAAGACTTTATTGAAGTACTTTGCTCGGGAGAGTTTGAAGATAATTGCTTTTTCAGCTTGTTGATCTTCTAAATGTCTTCTCCAATAATTAACATGTTATAAATATACAATAAACTAATAATATGTGAGGAGCTGAACTTGTTTAGGTAAATATGATCCATCTTACATCTCTTATACCCATTCCGTTGCATGAAGTTATCAAACTTCAAGTGCCACTATCTTTTAAGTTTTTTTTCAATCCATTCAAACTGTTCTTAAGCTTGCACACTATATGTTTATTTCTATAAATGCAAAAACCTTATGGTATTGCCATGTAGATGTCTTCTTCCAGGTCATCATGTAGGAATGTTGTTTTCACATGTAGTTTCTCTAGATGCAGATATTCTATAACCATGATAACCGAGACCAATATAACAATGTTCATCTTTACAACTTAAGAAAATATCTCATAATACTAGACCACACTTTTTCTTTTGGAACCCTTTAACCATCAGTCTAGAATTATATCTCATGCTTCCATCGATCTCATATTTTACTCAAAACACCCTTTTGTTTTACAATGCTTTCTTCCTTACAAGTAGCTTGAACGACGACCAAGTCTGGTTATTGTCAGGTGAGCTCAACTCTTCTTCCATGATCTTCTTCCGATGTAAGGAGTCTTTCATCCTTTAAGACTCTATATAACATTCATGTTTAATATTTTTTTGTCAGTAAAAAGTAGTTTGCTGATGGAGAATATCATATTAGAGGTGTGTTAAATCAAGTGTATATGCTGAGTCCTCCTATAGTTGTTGTCGAGGCTGCTGACTCAGTAGTTGTAGATTCATTATCCGCATCCTCTTTATCAGCGTAGCTCTCATTGAATCCAAATTATTCCTCCTATTATGAGCTATGATAGATGTCATTTATGCATCTTTTAGGGTAGTTTTTATTAGCATTTTATGTCATATTTTATTCTTTTTCATGAGCATTAGTTTAAATAATGTTCAACTCATGTTTTTCGTCAGAATTCTTATGCTACTCATGTTTTTATGTAATTTTTAGATATTTTGAGGGATCAGTATTCTAGGAGCTTTTGGGAGTAGCTTGGATGCATATTTGGAGCTTATTTTAGCTAAAATACCAGAGGAAGCTAGAGCCTAGGTTGGATTTGTTGAAACTGAAGAGTTCACGGGCAAAACACGCGTTTTATGAAAATTGCAATCGTGCTTCTGACCAAAATGTGATCACATTTGTGCTTTGAGGATTTGCTGGACCAAAAATCAGTCTAAAGAATTTAGCCAAAAAATGTGATCGTGGATTCCCTAAAAATGAGATCACATTTCTCCTTGGATGTCTTTAAAAGTTTGAAAAATAGCAACATACATTATTAAATGGAATTTCTGGAGTTTTGACAAAAAAAAATGCAATTGCATTGTTGCCTAAATGCCATCATGTTTTTCATATTTTTGCTCTTGATATTGCTGGCTTGTATATAAATACAACCTCTCTGATCAGTTTAAAACCCTATGAATTCTCAGACGACAAAATGACTTCCAAAGGCAATTTTCTGCACTTTTTGATCACTTTCTGAAGATCTGAAGGTGATGGATCATCTCAATCATTTAGTTTAGTAATCCATGTATGGCTAAACCCCGATTTTAGTTTTGCATATATTACTACTTTTCATGAAATCAATCATTAGAGTTGGTTTTTGATTTGTGATTCTAACTAGATTTTTCACTTATTCACTTAATGAATGTTTTATTTTAGTTATTTTTAGCCAAATCACCTAATTTAGGATTAAATCATTCTAGTTAATCAGTTAATGGAATCCGCAGTTGTTCTAATCAACTAGTAATAATTAACAAGTATCAGATTAGATCATTGTTCGGATTTAATTTTGATATAAATTGCAATTTTAATGGTTCATCAAAATTTGTATGTTTATATTTATGTGTGTATATATATTTTACATTTTACGGTATTTATGCAGAAGAGGAAATTAGGATGTGGTCCACCACATAGTGTACTGTTCTTGTATACACATACAAGAAATCACGTTGGAGTCACATTTACAAATGAAAAAGATAGAAAAATTCATGTAACATTCATTTTCGTGCTATCTTTTATATTGTAGACTTCATGTTATTCACAACTTTGATATCTTTTTTAATTATTATTATTTTATAAGCTGCCTTAACTAGAAAAACAAGGAAGATTGGAAGTTGTAGGTGAAGAAGTTGAGGATGACCTAATATTTTATGATGTTGTTGGTGGTCATGACAATAAAAAAGACTGTGTGGATTTGGCTCATATGTAAAGGTCGTCCCATGATTAACTGTACAACAAAAGTATCTAATTACATTCTGGAAAAAATGTAGAACTGGAAGAATTAAGGGAGCTTGTATGTCACACACCCGGTCGACGGCGGAAACATCGGGCGATGCGAACGTGGGGAAATTGGACCGAGGCATATAGATATATAAAGAACATAACACAAAGGTGTATTGCAAACATTTCTTTTATTTATTAAAAATTATATTGGGATAATATTGCTTTTAAAAGTCAAGCACGCTTCCTAAACAAGACTAAAAAAAATCAGACAAAACTAAACTCCATCATCTTCCTTGATGACCTCCTCTTCCTTGACACGAATATCCTCCAAACTCATCTCCCTGAGAATATGTGTATTTTTTTAAAATGTCAAAATAATGTTTCCAAATGTCAACATATTTTTTAGAATGTCAATGAATATCCTCCAAACCAAGGATGGAGGAAACGTCCGGGGGTGGAGAACTTCATGTATAGTATCATAACCACAATTGCAATAGTGATTCAAGCAAACACAACCAACATATATATATATATATATATATATATATATATATATATATATAATTGAAAGAGTTACATCATTTTATGAATTACATGTTTCCAAATCAATTACAATATGTTGACAGAATGTGAAATGTTTGACGCCTTAACGTCCCATCCTCAAAATGCACTTGGTTACCTGTTTAGTGATTTCCTGAGAATACAAGTTGTTTGAAAAAGTGTCAACACAAAGGTTAGTGAGCTCATAAGCTTTTGTTTTTAATTGATAAAAACCTTTCTCTTGTAAATGTAATGTTTGTTCCGGAAAAATCCGATATTTTCCTTAAAACGTGTAATGTAGTCTTATATCCAGAGA